AACACACGAAGAATATCATCCAGTGGCCTTATGCCCAGCGGCGCATATTGCGCATCTGTTGCTGGGGGGTTATGGAGGGTGCAGAGAAGCTGTCATAAATCCATATCAGTTAGCATCTCATACACCACATGTAAACATCACAAAAGTGACAGGTACAGATATAGATATAGCATATAGGCACAGCATACATACCTCGGCCAGACTCTCCTCCCTGACCCCGCCCAGCAGATGCTCGCCGTAGATGCGCGCATGGTCACTTCGCGCTGCGGCAGCCATGCTTGCTCACACTCACTCCTTATGCTGGGTCATACTCCAGCTTCCTTCACTCCACCGGATGCGAAGGGCATAGTACTTGTCTGCCCATGCGAGAGGCGGACAGGCTTATGTAGCTGGTGGTGTGTACGTGGAGGAGTTGACGGTCAGCTAAATTCTACAACATCCGAACTGCCCCCAATGCCAAGCCTACATTTCTACTCTTAAACATTTCCAGTTCTTATCATTTACAACTTCAACATCGCTCCCCCTTCCCCCATCCATCATACCCTTCCACCATACACAACTCGACCAATATACTACTCCATTCAATTCCCCATATAACCCCTCTCCTCTTCTCTTATATCTCGTGCCCCAACCCCAACCCCAACCCGAACAAAACTACAACCCACCATGCCCAACCCACTCCTCCACCCCTTCCCAACCTCCGCCCTCCCTACAGCCCTGCTCACAACCTCCAAAAAATACCACGAAACTCGCCGCAAACCCCCTGTCGACCTCCTCCAATGCCCCCTGATGGAGATGGTGCAGTACTCCTGCAACCCACCGAATGAAGAGGTGCCAGCACCCGGCATCATCAAGTGCGAGAGTGTGGTGAGGTTGTTCAGACAGTGCGTAGTATATGGATTCTGATTTCTGGTTTTTGGTGGAGATAAGTGGGGTGAGTTTGCTGATGTTGTGAGGGTGTGTAGGTGTGCGAACGGGCTTACGGTTGAGACTACGACGTGGGAGCGGAGGGGGATGGGAAAAGAAAGGGAGAGGGAGAGGGAGAGCGAGAAGAAGGGAGGGATGGAGAAATAGAAATGGAAAGGCGATTAAATATACGATATGATACGACATGATACGTATTTGATATAATGCGACAAACGGGCGAATATCAAAAGACAAATGTCATACCGATTCCGCGAATCTCTGCATGGGTATAAAACTCCCCAGTCAAAATCAAAGAATATTCAACCCACAACACCCGCCTTCCCACCCCTCCCCTTCTTGTTCCCAACAACACCACCGATTCCAACTCCATCCATCTTCCCCCTGACATCCGGCCTCGTCACCTTCCGCCAATACGCCCTATCACAATTGACCACCGGACTGAGATCCAGCCTCACAACCGGCGGCGTTATCGATGGCTTCATATTGCTCCCCCTTGCAGTCTCCGATGATGACATCGGTTCACCTCCAACTCCACTTCCCGATCCCAACGCCAACCCAATCTCATCCCCACCGTTGCCTTGCTGTTGCTGTTGCTCTTCCCTCCTCACCACTCCCCTCGAAACCGCTTTAACAGTCTTCTCAAACATCCCCTCCACACTCTCCCCCTTCCTCCCCCAAAGCATGTTCTCCCTATACTCCCCTCCACCATCGGCACCAGAACCACTCCCACTCCACTCCTTCGCGACCCTCGCCAACCTTCTCAATGCCTCTTCCCCCAACCTTCCTTCCTCCGTCGCCTTCTCCCTAATCCTCCTCGGATCCGTTTCACGCGTGATATACATTGGCGTCTCCTGGTACGTGTGCTTGCTGGGAAACGTAGGGAAGTGTTTGGGAATATGCGTTCGTATTGCTCCTTGGTCCTGTCTGTCGTGGTCAATGGAGGTTGGAGAGATGAGTTCGGGACCAAGGAAGGGGAGATTGGTGTGCGGTGGTGGGGAGGAGGGTGGCGGGGAGGGGAGGGTTGCTGGTATTGTTATTATTCCCTCCGCTGCCGCTGCCGGATGAGTCGGCATAGTTAGTTTGAGATATGCTCGGAGTGAGTCAACGGGAATATTGGCATAGAGCAGCGCGTGCTGGAAATCGATGGGAATGGGCTGCGTGCGCCGGCAGGAGGCCATGGATTGGCGCGTGTACGCTAGGAAGTGTAGCATGTCTACGCAACACAACATACATATACCAATTAACATACTATTAGCATACCATAAAAACACAGGCCAAAATCCTACATGTAAAATGCAATAAGAAAATGAAAATGAGTAAAAAAAAATTAACATACACTCCTCAACCCCTCTCCTCAACCCGTCCAATGCCACAGGTTCC